AAATATGGTTCCACTATCTTTGTATGATGTTGTACTACCATTATAACATATAATATTGCTACATGTTTATAGAAAATAAAGATCTTTAGATTTATCTTGCTTTTACATGTTTTCTTGCAATAGAAATTTGTCATTTTCATAGTAATTAAATTATAAAACCTGAGCAAGTGAAATTTGTACGATAGCCATGATTTGATAACATATACCACTCATAAAAATCCCAGCCCCAAACTAGTTGTTCTCATACATCACTAAAATTTATATATATGTTTATTAGAAGAAATGATTAATAAAATCATAATTATAGATAAAGGCCGTGTTCGGCTGCTGGGTTTCAGCTGTTGCAGCTGGCTGGCCCTAGGTGTCAGCTACAGTAACTTGTGATGGGGAGCAGCCAACCCAGCCGGCAGCAGCAGCCCAGCCAAATGGAGCCAAAGCTTATAATTGTATTTGGTGATGCTTTGAGTGATTGGTGTTCAATAGTGTTGCTAAGTATGTTAGTGGTGGTTGAAGTTCTTGAATGGCTCATGTGTGTCTGCTCTTTATTAGCAAACAAGTAAAACATCAAATTGTTATATTCTGAAATGGCTGCTTGTGCATTTTCTGTTGTAATGATAACTTCGTGATGAAAATGATGTTTTCTATAGATATGTTGAATACAAAAGTTGTAGATAATTTCCTTATATTGCTTGTCCTGCAATTTTATGATTTTAGGCCTGATGGTTTAGGAGTTATAGATTTTAGAAGTTTACTGTTAGGTTTTGCATGCTCTCTATACAAATCTAAATGATTGTGTTGTTTGACTTAGCTAAGCTTTGAATCATGTCTTGGAGATAATAGAAGAAATGTAGTTCTTTTCATGAGATTTCGAAATTGTTAAATATCACCCCTTTTGGTGGTTTAAATCTTCAATTATGAGCTTGTGAAGTGGAGTGACAAATTCTGTCCTAATCTGGACAGAGATGTCTTCTTTGTGATGTTTGACCTAGTTAACTTTGGAATTAGCTTGTGGTGTTTATAACAAAGTTGTGCATGGTTTGATAAGATTTCTAAAAAGTCTAGAACCACCTTGTTGTGAAAACTAGAACTCAACTTACTGCTGTTTGAAGTTGCATGTCAGGTTCTGTCCATGTTTTGGATAGAATTGCTGCTTTGTATGTTTAAGGCCAAATAATTGTTGAATCACCTAAAGATGATAATAAGAAAGCTATATATAACTTAATAAGATTTCTATAAAGTTAAGGATCATGCTTGTTGGATGATTAGAACTCCAGTTATGCATTTCTGAAGTTAATGTTAGTTTTCTGTCATTATCGATATAGACCTAAGGTATTGGCATAGTTGATCATGTTAACCTATGAGTTAGCTTTTGGAATGAATAACAAAGTTGTAAACAATTTCATTATATTTCCATAAAGTCCAAGATCACTTTTATTGAATGATTGTAACTCCAGTTATGGTTGAAACACTCAACTGCTGTACTGTTGTCCAAATTCTGTGTATACACTTAAGTTGATTGCCCATTCTTGATGTTCCTGGTGCATGCTCTAAATTATGTAGCCCTAGTTACTTAGTTGAATGACTTGCTCTCTAGTGTTTAAATCAATATGATGTGACCATTCTTCATATTCATGCACTTGTATTATTGCATCTCATCTAGGTACGCTAGATGCACCACGCGAAGGACGTGATGATGGAATCGAACTAGAAGACGGTGTTGGTGGACCTATCCCGTAGATGGAAGGACCCCTGGAGTACATGCCTGAACAAGAGATGCTCACCAAGCGAGTGTCGTCTAACAAACACTAACATAGTGTTGGATCCCAGGCAAGCCCCGGAACATTTTAAGCCTCCTATGTTTTCAAACTATCAACTTGAGTCCTTTTATGTTGATGCATTAAGTACTAGAAGTTGATTGGAACCACTTGCTGCATATATCTTCCTTATCCAGATATATATATCTTGAATCCTATGTAGGTCCAGGATCGAATATATGCTTAGCCATACTTAGTCGGTAGAAGTCGGGTGATTACTTGTCACCTGCATGATATAGGCTGATAACTAATCACGGTTGGCTATATTTGCTAGCGTAGAAATAACCATGTGTCAATGAATAAAGGAGACCGAGCGGGATCGTGATAGAGAAGCAACAAGGAATGGAGGTCTTGGGTGCCTATCTATCCCGGTCTGTGTCGATTAAGGACCAATTCGCTGTACGTCATCATGTCATGTTGAACGCATGCCTAACACTTAGCTGCCGGATCCGATGATACGACCGCGAAGCCGATCATCTCAATTCAGGCCGGGCCCCGATAAGTGGAAGTGCGCACACTAGAGGCAGTAAGGATATGTGGAGAGCCAATGGCGTGAGTCCAAGGGTAGGTTCAAGTCCCAATCTTCCTGGCAGATTGGTAGAATCTCTTAGGGTGCGGCGTTGATCGGACCCGCGACTATACCTGAATTATACCAAAGGTGACATGAGGCTACCTTGGCGTAGGTGTGCCTCGGTTTATGTTAGGAACAAATTCCTCAGCTGGGTAGAAATCAATTGGAATCGCCGTCTCTCCTGGATAGTGAGAACTTGACTGAGCAGCGGCAACGTAGCATTAATTAATGGAATTTGATGGTTATGATGAATATGGAAATGCTACACCGGCCATGGTTACTATTGCTTGTTACTAAATGATATTCCACTTGTTTGGCACAGGTTAGTTGCTAATCTAGAGATGAATAGCTATAATTAAGTTGGTTACCGAATTATAAAATGTATAGCTCAACTAGTGGCTTTTATGCAAAATTTTGTCAAGCTAGCTCCACCTATAAAGTCTTGCATACTCCTTGGTGTCACTTTATTTCTGGTTTATGACGGGTAAGTCTAGTTGAGTACATTCGAGTACTCAGGGTTTATCCCACCATGTTGCAGGTGAAGTTCTTGGCCTGCTGAAGATGGTGGTTAACCGCCGGTGGGCTCGTTGACTCTATATTTATCTCTCATCTATATGCTTTTATCAGAGGATGTCACTTATGCTACCAATGTATTTGAAACTTATATTAATGTAATCATTTGAAAGCTATGCTGTTTTCACTAATCGATTTTGAAACCCAAACTTGTATTATTATTTGTGAACTCATTGTAAACATTATTTCCGCTGCAACTCTATGTATGTGATGTGTATTTGCTTAATCATGCGATCTTGGTTATGATATTGATTCACCGATGTCCTTCGTGACACTCGGCGGACTACCGGGTTTATATAAGTGAAAGTATGCACGTGTCAACGTGTTAGCGGGGACAGCCATACTTGATTTTATATAAATTGGGCGGTTCTGTTACGCCGTGGTCTTACGACCCAGATGCCGCCCTCGTTGGGTGAAGCTCCACATGTGCGGAGCTCGGCACCTGGACACCAGGAGAGGTAAAGTGGTCCTCCTGAATTGCTGCCGTGAGCGGGGGCTTCGCGATGGTGACTCCCTCGGACTGCTCCCCTTCAGGTTGTTCTAGAGGCTGCGCCTGTGGAACCTGAGATCCTAGGGCCTGCTTGATGCGCTAACCGAGATCCAGCACTTAGTGCTCCAGCTCGTGGACACGATGGTCGACTTCGGGCTTTCAGGTGAGTATGTCCGTCCTCAACGCCCTCATCTCCGTCATCGAACTCTTGAGTTCGTTGATCCCCTTGGAGTTCTCCCCCAATATCGCCAGGATCTGCCCCAGCTGCTCCTCCTGTGTCACCAAAGCCATTTGTCTAAATGTGAGATATGGATGCGATGCCAGAATTGCGAACTTCCCCACAAATCGACTCGCATGCTTGGGAATTACCAAGAAATATCCGGCGACAGCAGCTCACTGTCCTCCTGAGACCTCAATCAAACCCGAAACGTTTGCGAATTCGATCGATGGAATGCAGAAATTCGAGTGACTATGGATCGAGTGGCTCCAATACCAGATGTAACCGAACTACGATAGATCAACGATAGTTTTGAGGTATTTCTGGGTGGAAACTCGGTCGGTCGCCGGCCGATCAACGAGATCGCCGCACGCCGCCACTGCCGTCGCCTTCCGGCACGGTTAGGTTCTCGTCGGAGTCCGAGTCCTTCACGGTTCTCGTTTTGCATTACAAAGGAAATCGCAATGGGCTGCCTCATTGTTGGGCCACGCAGGGCCCCTCAATTGATCTAGTCCGCCCATAGTCCGGCTGCTGGGCTTCCTTGTACGCGCGAGCCTAGGCGCCCTTCTCGCCGAGTCTTCATCTGAGCTCGCTCCCTTCTCCTTTCCTCCGCTGGAGTCAGCAAGATCGCTCCTAGCAGTAGTGGTCGCCGTGCCGTCGGTGACATCAATGAACACTACATACTCCCATTTTCAGGTGCACAAGATACCAAGATCAATGAACACTACAGCTCACTCTTTAGCTTATCAGGCTTCTAATTCCACTGTTGCTACAAGTCCTCTCATGTACTGCTGCTCAGCACAGGGAGCTACCTCTCTGCCTTGTCAAATTGGCTCTATCCCATCTCAAATGGGATGATTGTAATCTACTGTCCGTAAGATGCTGTTAACTTTAATGAATGCCACTTATCACCAAAAAAAAAAAACCCATCAAGCACAATGAGAGCAAATCTTGTGCTTGCGTCAAATATAGTTCAAGAAAATCTTGTGCTTGCGTCAAATATGTCAAATTGGATAAATTCAAGAAAACGACAAGAGTACTATTGAGTATTTGACCAAACTGCTGCGGTAAAAAAAAAAGTTTAGTACTTGCGTCAAATATAGTTCCGATGCATTATTAATTTCTTATTACAATTCAGCGCCTTTGAAATGTCTTAAACTTCTTATTCAGGGGAAATGTCGCAAAAAAAAATTCAGGGAAATGTCTCCGAATTATTGAACATTGCAACACCTTTTTTTTTCCCCCTTTGATAAAGTGAAAGGTGAAAGCTTGATTAGAATCTATTTCCGCCTAAACACAGAAATTTAATGAACAGGTGCCAAGTGCCAACTTGCGCTAAGATCTGGAGCAAACATTCTTCAGGATGGATCTGAGGTTTCTCGTCTCAGTAGCAACACATTCCCGGTCAAACAGAGCAGAGACCACAGCCACACCTTTCAGATTTGGGAACCCAAGCTCCATTACCGAACCTGCATTTCCAGCATTGATGCCGCCGATGGCCACCACAGGCAGCTTCGAAGCCAAGCAGACTGCCCTCAAGCCCTCAAACCCTAAGGTGGGATTGTTCTCCTTCGTTGAGGTTGGGAAGACACCGCCACAGCCGATGTAATTTGCACCATCCTTCCATGCTTGCTCGGCCTGGGCTGGGGTTTTACATGAGACGCCAATGATTTTTCCAGGTCCTAGGAGCTCTCGTACTTCCCATACTGGCATGTCTGATTGACCAACATGGACGCCATTTGCGTTGCACACCAGAGCAACATCTATGCGGTCATTGATCAGTAGCGGCACTCCACTGGACTTGCAGATTTCCACACAAGCCTTGGCAGCTTCCAAGAACTCCCGTGTATTGGCGTCTTTTTCTCTGAACATTGGAAATTGAAAGCACGGTCAGTGAAATCAAATGAAGAGACTGAATCACAAGAGGAACTTTGGTTGTTTTCAAGAAAGATAACCTCAGTTGGACAATGGTAGCACCACCTTCAATGGCAGCTTTCACGGCATCTTTTATTGAACGACCCCACTTCTTGTTCATCACAGAGTCTGTCACTGCATACAGGAAGAGGTCATCTGGATTGAACTTTTGCAGTGATCCCATCTTGTATAACGGAGACTTGAGCTCGAAGAGGTGGTCAAAAGGGCCCTAAGGTCCATTTCCAATCACAAGATCTTTGCTGTGATAAAGAGCAGATTCCACAAATTTCTTCGCAACCTGCCAAGATCATGTATGGAAAATAAAACACAATGTAAGATACTAATATTAACAGTGAACCTGAAAGATGCATAAAAAACAATTAAAAATCTTACTATTAAGAGCAGTGAACCTATGTATAGTGCTAAACTGCTAATCAAGGTTCCAAAACTATTAGGAACTGACTTAAGCACCCAACTAAGATATTTAACAAAAGAAAAAACCACCAAGGATCTTATGATTGACGTGATTTGAACGCATATTCTTTGGCAGTGAGTCACAGCTCGAAACAGCCAAGGGAATGCTCTAGATTCTTTGCAGTAAAAGTGTCTTGCAATATGTCATCTAACACAACACAAATTACCACCAGTCACATGCCAATTTTCCAGACCTTTGTACTAAAGAATAAAGATTCACCCCATCGCAGGGGAGAATTTATGTAGCAAATTTTGTAGCACAAAACAAATCCAAGTAAATATGAAACTGATTCGAAAACTGTTTCAATTTATGTCCCATTCGTTGCCAAAGAATTATTTTTCTAGTGATAAATAACATTTCAGCAGATAATTTGCCTCAATTGTTTTGAATTATCATCAGGTATCAGTGTGTGACAACTTAAATGCTAGTTTGCAAACTAACCTGAACAGCATGCAGCATTGTTGCACCTTTTGCTAATTCAGCAGCAATACATGAAGCTAACGTGCAACCGGTTCCATGTGTGTTACGGGTCTTTATACGCAGGCCACGAAGCTCAGTGAACTCCTTACCTGATGAAATAGGTCAGAACATGTATAAGGACGGTCAAAAGGGAGGAATGAAACAAGTTAATCGACAGAACAGAGTAGTATTGAATTGTTCAAATATACCATCAAATAATACATCAATTGCATCTGATGAATCTGGCATATCTCCACCTTTCACAAGCACATATCTTCAAATGGTAAGATTGTATTAGCAAATTATTCATCAATCACTATATGCATTTTTAAAGAGGACATTCACTAATGTAATTAACAATGGAGTCAAATGAAGAGCTTTCAGCTAGCAAGGCACAGTGACAAGGTTTAGTGCCTATTCAAGACAGGGAACAATCATTGTCATGAGGAAACTTGTGTTTGGTTTAAATGGTAGGGACCGTTAGCTCCTCAAGATGGAACTAATAGAACTTTATATATTCAGGCATGATAAATCAACATAAGAACCATGTATAGCTTGCTTGTAAAGCTGGAAACCTGGAACAGAGGGAAATTATGTAATACTATTCAATAATGATTTCATCCATATCACCACTTAATGTGCCTTTTTCATTTATACCATTAGCCTGTGTCAATGACAATGACATGTAGGACCAGACCCCACATCTCATTTAATACTAGCTTGATGGTATAGATGGAAACTGCATCTTAAATGGTTGTATGGATGCAAGCACCCCATGGTTCCAAGCTTATGACAACTATGGTAGCAAGTTTGCTTCGAACGATATACTTCAAAGATTCATATAGAACACTGGGGGGTCAGGCAGACATTCCCCTATACAGATGTAACATAAGATGCACAAGAACGTGATAGCACACATATAGGGTAAGAGAACAAATAAGGTAAACAGAACAAATTTACAGAAATAGAGAACACATACTTTGGACCAAGTTTGTAGATGGATTCAGCTGCATTGCGCATGTCAGAAATTGTATGCAATGATACATCCCCAAGTAACTTAGATGCTTCTCTCACATTAGGAGTGACTATATCAGCCATAGAAAACAGTTCATCCCTGCTCATAACAATTGCAAGAGCATGTCCATAAGTACTATGGTATTGAGGATGTAACAGCAATAATAATCCAACAAGAACTCATAAATGCATACAGAACAAAACAAATATTGATCCTGTACCTATATGTAGCGAGAGTAGATGGTCCTGAAAGAGTATCACCACTGGTGGACACCATGACTGGATCTACCACTAGAGCTGCCTTCAGAAGCACAAGTCATAGCAAGTAAATAACTGAATTGGCATAGTATGCTTTCATCATACACTTGCAGCAATACAGCATACCTTTGACTGGAAACTTCCTAAGACTCTCACAGAGAACTTTAACAACTCCAGATGAAGGAGCATCCCTGTTTTCACCTAACAAAATCAAGAACAGAAGACACACATAGCATAAGTTCCAAGTGGAAATAGGATACAGATCAAATAGATTAAATCATAACAAACTATCAGCTAACTCCAATTTCATATGACAACTTCTACAAAAGCACATTCAGAGAAACAACAAGTCTTTTGGGATACAAACATAACTAAGCCAATCAAATATCATTCTTTAGGCAGAGCAATGCATTGAGGATGAAGGATTAGGATTCTAGGCTCTGTTTTAAAGATGTCACCTTAAGTGTCCAGGCAGACCCTGCTCAACTTGGCTTGCTTTGTCACCTTTGAAACCATGATTCCAGTAAATTCAAACATTATATAACGTTGGTAACTATATGCTATAAACTGTGGTGATAGCCCTTGGCAGTGAGAAATGGGAACAAAGTTTGATCACCTTAAAGGAAACGAAATATATGTTCACACCTAAGCTGCCGATTTTCACAGTAAGACAACCCAATTTCATGGGAAGTTAACGCCCCAACACTTAAACTGACGTGAAATAAACTAACTAATAGAAATATTCAAACTCCTTCCATGAATCACTTTTTCAAGGCTGTGCGCTTCTTGTTAGGCAGAGGTCACAACTCACAAGGACTTTTTCAAGGCCTTCCATCATCTCGATGTAATGCTTTGAGAATTTAATAAATGTTTCCTTTATCGAAAAAAATGAATCACTTTGCCAAGCATAGTATCTTTGTAATCATAGCAAGAATAGTCTGTCCCAAACAATAAAGATCTCTGTTTATAGCACGCACCTCAGGGGCACTGCGTGCGTTAAGATTTGGAAAAACTAACCCCTCATAAGACATAACTGGACCATGGCATCGTTACTGAATGGCAAAAGGCAAAAAAAAGCTCACCACGTCCACCGACATGTCGGAGAGAACCGACCTGAGCTGCTCCCCTACGAACTCCTCCGGCACAGCATGGACCCCCTACAGCACGACCAGATCATCCATCCCCTGTTATCGATCGAATCGTGGCGAAAGAAAGCGGGCGAGCATGTAGCAAAAGAAGGGCGGGGGAATCGGGCATAACGTGCCTGGACGCCGACGGTGTTCTGTGCGGTGACGGCAGTGATGACGGAGGAGCAGTAGGCTCCTAGGGCCGCGCACACCTTGATGTCCGCCTGGATGCCCGCGCCGGCGCCGGAGTCGGAGCCGGCCACCGTCAGCACGTGCGGCCACGGCATCTCGCGCGCCGAGGCAACCACCGGGAACCTGCGCCGCCGGGTAGCCGAAGCAGGCGAGACCCCGGGCGAGGAGGAGGGGGAGCGGAAGAGAAGGGCGGCAGCGTCGGAAGGGCGATATGGGGCGAGGGCCGCTGGGAGGGGTGGTACGGACGCCATGGGCAAGTCCACAAGTGGAGGTTTATGGCATTGGATGGGGAATCAAACTTTTTTCATTTCTCATCTCACATAAAAAATTCGGAGGACTTTCGTCCAACACTATTTTGCGTACGTCCGCTCCAACCACGTCCCCACTGTCTCTAACTCTCCGTCGCAACAAGCCGTCCGTCCGTACTTGTTTCTTTCCACACATACTCCGTCACGCACACCATGTACATACGTGTATATGAAACGGTTTCCTCCTTCTCGATTAGGACACGTGGTCCGGCCATCGAGCTAGGCACGTCAAGTTTATAACTCCATCAGGTATGACCATGTACATATACATACGTGTATACATAGTTATTAAGGCGGTCGCCTAGACGGTAAGGCGAGGTGCGGCGCCCGACCCCCTTCCAGATGCCTAAGAGGCGTTTAAAGGCGAGGCGAGGCGACACCTTACTAACGTCTTAATATATAATACCACTAGAAATCAGAAGTAGATGATACCATATAATATCATAATAAATAGTGCTGCTACAGTAACAGAACGCAGCATAAAGTAGCAAACTAGCAAATTTGAAATCTCTCATCTCTTAATAGGAGCAAATTAGACTCTAGTGACATAACATAACTTAATTACTAGTGCTGCTAGTCCATAGCAGCCACAGATAGCAAGCAACCAGCAGAGCAGAATAGAAGGAGCAAAGCAGAGGAAGAAGATGCAAAACAGAGTCCACGCAGCAGAACAGAGGAAGGAGATGCAGAGCAGAGGAAGGAGGGAGAAAAGGACGCACCGAAGGCAAGGGGCAGATCATGTGGGGATTGGGGACGACCTCTTCTCTTCCCCTCTCTCCTCTGTTTCCCTCTCGCTCTCCGGACGGCGGACGTAGCAGTCGCAACGGGGCGGGAATCGCGGATGGGGTGGGAGTCGCGAACGGGACGGAGTCACGCGGACGAGCTGAGTCGTGCGGATGGGGCGGAGTCGCGCGGGGCAGCCGCCTGCGGCGGCGCCGGCACCGAATTTCATGTGCTCCGCCGCCCTCTTCTCTCTTCCTCTCTCCTTCCTTTCCCTCTCCCTCTCCCTCTCTCACTCTCTCGGACGGAGCAGAGTCGCGCGGCTGGGACGGACTTGCGCGGGGCAGTCCCCTGCGCCTCCGCCGTCGCCGGATTTGAGGTGCATCGCCGCCCTCTCCTCTCTTCCTCTCTCCTTCCTTTCCCTCTCCCTCTCTCACTCTCTCAGACGCGATGGGGATTTGGAGCCTTTGGCGGGAGGAGTAGGCGCGGCGCTGCTGCTTTTCCCACGCGAGGGCATCGCGCCGCTCTTTTCCCGCCCGCCGGAGCGCGCGGCGCCGCTCTTTCCCCGCGCTTTTTAGTCCCGCGGCGTCCGCCTCAGCGAGAAGGACGACTAGGCGACGACTTCAACCGCGAGGCGACGCCATACGCCAGGAGGATGCGGCGACAGCGACGCCGCGTTTGAAAACCCGCTCAGACGACTAGTCGTCGCCTAGGCGACACCTAGGTGACGCCTTAAAAACTATGCGTGTATATGAAAAAGTTCTTGATTAGCACACGTGATCCGGCCATCGATCGAGCTAGACACTTCAGGTTTATCTCAAAATCTTGAATGGAAGCAGCCTGGCATGTGGGCCAATTCCGTGTGCCATGCCAATTCCGTGTGCCCTATGTACTCTGGCTGCATATACGTCGCATACTTCGAAGATGTCGTATTACATGGCCATGTGGGGAGTGCTGACTATACTTCAGTTCAATTTGCATATGAACTTTCCGGTCCGCACTTTAGAACCGTATTTCTACATCTAATCTAAAAATGTTGTAATGTCATCGTCTGTCTAGTGATACCAAGTCTTGATTCATGATCACGTGTCTGTGTCCGATAAGAATCATCCTTTACTTAGAGCTCACACGTCCGTGTCCTACCCGATTACGATACAAAGACTGGATCTACGTATCCACGTCTGATACAAAGTCCTCGGACCACCGCTCCCATGTGCAGGTCCATGTAACCTGACACATTGATAAATGACTAAAGAGAGGGAAAAAGGTCTAAATGAATTTCAACGTAGTTTAAGGTTCACAAAGCAAAATCATTTATTAGCTTTTAGTATTTTTCTGAAATGATAAAAACCATCACCGTAGGTGTGGACAAAAATTCATTACCCGGTGCAACGCACGGGCATATATCTAGTTGATGAATAAATTATTTTTTGGAAAAAAGTCTATGTAACCCTCTCACCTATTGTTGCTCGACTACTTTACCCCCAACCTATAAAACCAGGTATTTAACCCCCTCACCTTTGCAAAACCGTTCAAATAACCCCCTATGCTGGTTTTGCATAGCAGTTTTGCCACGCTGGCACGCTAAGGTGGAATTTGATGCTGACGTGGATGACTGACAAGTGGGCCCCGCTTGTAAATGGGCAAGTCTTCTCCCCTTACCTCCCGCGGCATGACGCTTCCTTCTCCCGACGACATCTTCTTCCCCTTCTCCGGCGCTACCTTCCCCATCGGTGGCGAGCGAGCTTGCGCTCCACATCTTCCCCTAGCGAGATCTAGCGTGGCCTTGCTCGCGTGATCGGAGCGGACGGAGCAGGGGTGGCGAGCACGACGTGCCGGTGTGGGTTGTCCTCGTGGACGCGTGTAGCCCACTACGCCGATCGACTGGAACAGCGCGTGCTGCTCCAAGTATGCGTCGTAGAGGTCGTCGTTGGCCCCATCGTGGTGGGCAACACCCGCTGGTACGACGCGGCGAGCACCGACGTGGTCGACAGGTCGTAGGCACTCGTCTAGGGCCGGCTCGAGCCCGTCGGCCACTGGGAGGCCACATGTGTGGTTCTGGCACGAAGGCCCCTGACGTGGACGGCGTCGCGTGCGGGTAGTAGAGCGACCCAGACCGCATCGTAATGGTCTTTGGAGGAGGCGGCGCTCGGGCTTCCTTGCGTGCTCGGGGCATATGGAGCGGGGGTCAGGGGGAATGAACGGGGCGGATGGAGCAGGGGTGGGGGCTTGCTTGCGTGCTCGCCAGCCGACGGCCGCGCCGCACGCCGCACGCTACTCCGGTGAGGTGCGGGAGGGCTACGGTGGCGCATGGGACAAGAGGGCCTGCGGTGTCCTGCAGGTCGGAAGGGCAGTAGCGGCACGTGTCGCGAGAGGGCAGCAGCAGCAGCGCGTCGCGGGAGGGCTGCGGCGGTACAGCGTGGAGAGCAATTGCGGCGCAGACCGTGAGGCTCAAGATGAGGAAGACCTATCTACTTACAGGTGGGCCCACTTGTCAGTCATCCACGTTAGCTCAAATTCCACCTCAGCGCGCTAGCGTGGCAAAACCACTATGCAAACTAGCCTAGGGGGTTATTTGAACGGGTTTGCAAAGGTGATGGGGTTAAATACCTAGTTTTATAGGTTGGGGGTGAAGTAGTCGAGCAACAAGAGATGAGGGGGTTATGTAGACTTTTCCATTATTTTTTCGTACCAATAATAAGGGGCCGTTTGGTACAGCTTATTGGACAGATTCATGAGCTGTTTTCCAGCTCTCAACCAAACAGGTCCGAGCGAAAGCGCTTCACGCATGAAGCTCCAAAAAAACCAGTGAGACAAGCAGGCAGCGCATGGTGAAGCCTAAAATAGTGGCTTGCTCGCGCTTCATCCGACAGCATGTGGGCTGAAAGCCCTAGTTTGGTTTTGGATAATTGATGAAACCTAGGACTAACCTTTGATCTAAGTTTGTAAATTAGATAAGATATTCCAATCCAAGTGGTGGAGCTAGATGATGGTCATGGTGAAGGTGATGGCCACAAAAAGATGGATCAAGTGCTTCACATTTGGAAAAGAAGAAAGAGAAACAAAAATGGACTCAAGGCAAAGGTATAATGATAGGAGCCATTTTTAGTTTGCACTCAAGACACCATAGAGGGTGTGAGTAATTTAGGATCGATAGCCGTACTATAAAGAGGGGAAATCTTTGGCTACACAGTTATTGAGTGCCACTAGGTGACATGACTCTTGCATATACATTAGGGATCTAGTGCGCTAACAATTAACCCTTGTAAAATAATTTGCGCTGACCGTTTTCGACCGTTGGAATCTAACGCGCAGAGTTCAAAGGGAGGACACGTGGTGGCCATCAGCCGACCAGACGCTAGGTGCGTCCAGTCGTGCCTACGCAGAGCAACGGCTCTATTCGTTTGAGGGGATCTATAAATAGACCATTGCTGGCTTGGGGCTCACTCTCTTGGCACTTTGACATTCTTGACATTCTTGTGAGCCTAAGCAAACACCTCCTACTCATCTCTATATCATTATTCATCATCATAGTGAGATTGGAAGTGATTCCTAGTGTATTTGCTTGAGTGATTACATCTAATGGCACTTGGTGATCGTTGTGGCTACAGATTTCTTATTACTCTTGGTGGTTGCCAATAGCTAGATGACTTGGAGCAGCGGAGGAGCATTGGCATGAGTTAGTGGTTGTTCGTGGCCGTCTCCCGGTGATTTGTGAGGGGTCTTGTACCATTGCCGGCGGAGAGCCGAAAGGTAACTCTAGTAAATTGCTCGTGTCATTGAGTTACCTGACTTGTGGTAGGTTCTTACGGCGCCAAGTGTTGGCTAGGTGTGTGATACATATTAGCCGCCAAACCACTAAGTGTTGGTCGATACAACGGGGACTAGCGTGCTGGCAAAGCACGTGAACCTCGGGAGAGAAATCTTGGTGTCCATTGTGATTGGAATTCTCCCAGTGATTGAATTGGCTTTCATATTGTGATTAGTTCATTCCTTGACACGGTGGTATAATCACCCTACTCCCTTCCTTACATTTTTTGCAAACTAGTTGTGTAGCAAGCCCTTTAGTGTAGCTAGTTTTGAGAGCTTGCTTGCTACTTTAGTTTCACCTAGTCGATCTCTTTAGTGTAGCTTGTTTGAGAGCTCTTAGTGAGTAGTGACTTAGCCTCTTGTGTGCCTAGAGATTGTAGCAACTAGAATTATTGGAATAGGTGGCTTGCAAC